TGGGTTTGTCCAGAAAACAGTGTTATTTAATTTTACTGCTCTGCGTCCCCGTGTGGGCTCCGGGGCCCCTTTGTGTGTGTGTGTGGGGGGGGGGGAGAGAGGACCCAGTGCTTGTCTAAGCTTTTCCTCCTAATTCGAGTTTCAATATCTTTTCCTCTCGCTCTGAAAACGGCGGGCTTCTGTCATGGGCGCATCGTTCAGTTTACGTGTGCAGTTTTCATAGAGATCCCTCGGGATCGTGGCTGGAGCTACAAATTGCATGGAAAATCATGCACAGAATGTATTGAAAAATAGAAGATGAAATAGTTTGGTCTCGTTAGATGCAGCCACACTACTACCAACACAGGCGCTACAAGTGACAAGATATGATGTGAAAGCAAAAGGTGTCCCTGGGAAAAGATGAACTGATGAGATTTAAGATGGTCTCGTTATACAGAATGATGCTAGCCACTGAACCCATTAAGCAATGCATCATAAGCTATTCCTCTGCACGGTGTAACGGCAAAAGTGGGAATTGATTAGGATGACATTCTTATTTGAGGTTTGAGGTTTTGAACAACGGATCAACATCATGGCACACGGGTAGTAACCCTTAGCGCTTTGTTCTTTTTCTAACACAAGTCTGAATCCGAAAAAGCTTAGCACAGTGCACATGCTCTGTAGCACAGGCTGGGGTCCAGAAATACTTTGGTAGATTTTTAACTCCAAATTTTGTCCGGGCAGGCCGTTAGGCTACTCTTTTCGATTTCCAACTGCAGGGGTTATCATTATCCGGTTTAGTCCTTATTAGGACGAATTGTTTTGTGTTATTTGAAGCCCCACCCTGGCTTTTGCCAGGGGCCGCAATATAGGCAGGCCATAAATATGGTCAATTGTCTGAACGCGGTTTCTGGGACCTCTACACTGCGATCATCATCCACATGGTGGCACTTTGTGTCATCGGGTTTTTATCGCTTGTGTGATGTTCTAGTAGGGAAGAAAGTCAGTCAGTCAGTCAACTGCAGGGGATTTTTTACGTGCGCAACAATGCACTATCTAGAGACCAGGGGGGAATTGCTAGAAGTCCAAGTCCACGTGAAAAAAAATCCTAGCCCTTACCGGAGATTGAACCCGGAACCTCCAGCACTCGGGGCGGACACCATGCCTCGAGACCGCCTAGCCCCCTTAACATTCTTATAAAAACCAATGAGGGTCGAATGCTGTAAATCTCTAAAATGCTTTGTCTCCCGTCCTGATTGTAGTCTCTAATACTGCTGTTGGCCCATCTCTTTGTGTTATCCTTCCGCTTGTATTGTCGTTTACCTCTAGGTTGCTTGCCTTCGTTGTTTTTGCTGCAATATATTTGTTTTAACTTACTTACGCCAGCAGAAACGACTGAATAGCGTGCACATTAGATGCATAAAAAGGGTGCTTGGCATTAAGTGGCAAGACACGATCACGAACTATGAGATTAGGGATAGAGAAGAACACGTCTGCTTTCTTAAAGATCAGTCTCTGAAGGCTCATGTGGGTGGGTCACACTTGGAGAACAGAAGGACTGGCGTTTACTACGTTATAAAGTTGTGTGCATGTGGACAGACATAAAGGTGCCAACAGAGTTCGTATGCAAGTGTTGTTTAATGTCGAAGTCTGTGGTTTAGGCGTTCGAATGCGCTTTGTAAATCTGAGGTACTCAGTTCCAGTCCAACTGCGGGTGATTTAGTGCCAGACTGCTCTGCCTTACCTAAAAGTGCCTAGAGAAAGCAAAACAGCCAACAAAGACTGAAGCTGGTGCTGCAACACCTCGTAAAAAATACGCCATTATTTATTTTAAAAATGTTGTCGAAATATTTCATTAACAATTTTTTTTTTTAAACTTTTATTTCATTTTTAAAAACGACACTGGGGGAATTCAGGCCAGCAATGGTAGTTATGGGTACTTAAGTGGGAGGATAACATCAAGAGATGGACGGATGGTAAATCTGAAGGAGTGTGCAACTAATATAAAAGACAGGGTGTTTCTGATATTCATTGCAACCTACCTGCATTACTGTTGAAACAGGATTGCTAAGAGAAAATATAATCTTCTTCTTCTTCAGCCTTCGAGCCCTTGGGGTTCATTGTTGCAGATATCACCCGCCTCCACTCATCTCTCTGGTTGGCCTTCTCTTTCCAGTTGGTGACACTAAGTGTTTGCAGGTCTGTCTGGGCGTTATCTCTCCATTGTCTTCTTGGTCTGTCTCGTGGTCTACGACCATTTATCTCCCTTGCGTGTACAATTTTTACTTCTCTGCCATCTGACATTCTCTCAATATGCCCCAACCATTTCAGTCTACTAGCTCTCACGATGCCAGTTATCAATGGTGATTTAAACAGATCATGAATTTCGTTGTTGCTTCTCACTTTCCTTTCCCAACTGTTTGGCACTGTTTGGGTCCAAAGACTCTAAAACCTGTAATAAGGCTTCATAGCTTAAAAGATGTGTGCTCCAAGTTAAGAAAAAATTTAATTTTTTTTTTCAAAGAAGACGGAACGGTACGAAGCACGCACCTTTTTATGCATCATATTATTGCGCTTATGCAAAAGGGACTTTACGGTAAGTTAAATTAGTTCCATGTCCTTTGCAGAACCAACCATATAATATTTTGTGTTTTGTGGTTCTTCTAGGCAAATTTACTTTCTGTAGTTTGCCGCTGCCACTGAGAGGTCGACTCTTGATACCACTGTCAAAACCTACGCAAGATGGTCTGTTGCCAAAATGATGATTGTGGTGAATAAGTGAAAGACACCTTTCCACACCTTTAGGCGTATTGCGCATATAGGACTAGACCCATATTTTACAGACTAGTCGGAACTTGGTGGGTGATGTGGTCGGTATAAACTGGTCACCTTTACTTCCCAGTACTTGATCGAAAGACGGCTCGGTCAGGACCCGAACCTTCGACCTTCCGATCCGCAGGCGAGCGTCTAGCCGCTACACCACGGCGACTTCCTTTGTGGTGAGTACCAGCACATATTTTTTTTTATTCTAGAAGAAAAAAAAAAGAAGCCCTGTACAGAATGAAATGCGGTTAATGCAAATACGCGAATTCCTCTAATGTAGATACGCGAAGTAAATGGTGCAACCAGTTGTTTGTATCTTTGTATTTAAATTTACAAAAAGGAAACATAGCTTGCAATTACAGTCATCATCATTATGTTGGCTGCTTTTCTCAGGCACCTCATCTCGCAGGTGGTAATTTTGCGTATATGGGCTTTAGATAGTGTCCATGTTTGGCACTGGTAGCTTAATGTTGGAATAAATATGCTATTAATAATCTGTCTCTTTGCAGTCATAGTTATGCTTGGATGTTCTTTTAATGGTGACAGTTGGTATATAAGTGCACTTGCTTTCTGACATCTGGTTTCTATTTCTCTGTCAATTCTACCATCTTCTGTGATCATACTTCCTAGATATTTAAACTCCCTAACTTGATTCAGGGCAGAACCATTCAGCTGTATGTGTATTGGGGCAGAATGTCTACTAACTTGCATTGTTTCGGTTTTGTTTACATTGATCTTCATGTTGTATTTACTACATGCTGAGTTTAACCTGTTAATGTGGTCTTGCAGTCTATTTTCTTCAGGGTAGAACAAGCACTGGTCGTCAGCAAACAGTAGTTCGTTTAATGTGGGTGAATCGATTACTTCTCCTGATGTATGTACTTCCTCGTGATTATAAAGGTCTATGTTGTCTGTATCATAACTTGCTTCTTTAGATATTCTGTCTATATAGATGTTAAATAAAAATGGGGAGAGCACACATCCCTGTCTCACACCTGTGTTGACTGTGAACATATCTGATATGCCTTCTTGTGTTTTTACTGCACTTTGGCTTGTGTGGCACATGGCTATGATGTTCTCTAGTAACTGTCCTTGTACCCCGTAGTTCTCAAGAACAGACCACAGTTTGTTTCTTTCCACTCTAACAAAAGCTTTTTCCTGATCTATAAACACAATATTCTGTTTGGTATTATTCCCAATGGCTTTCTCACACACTTGCCTCAGTGAATAATGCATCTGTGCATCCTCTGCCTTTTCTGAAACCGAATTGTGATACACTCAGCTGTTGTTCTGCTATGGGTCTAAGTCTCTGTTCTAGTAATTTGGCGTACATTTTTCCTACGTGACTCAACAGTGATATACATCTGTATGATTCACATTCTCTCCTATTACCTTTCTTTTTTCCATATCTGTACTATTATTGCCTGTTGCCACTCAGCTGGCACCTTTCTTTCTTCCCAAGCTATATTAAACATTCTAGTAAGCCATTTAACACCCACTTCTCCGCAGGCTTGGATCCCTTCTGTATTAATTCCATCCAGACCTGGTGCCTTGTTTCTAGGGCTGTTCTGTATAACTGCTCTTACTTCTGCTGCTATGAAATTTGGTTTCTTTTGTTCGCAGCTTTGAGGTACAAAGTTAACATTACCTACGTTGCCTGTGGGGTTGAGAAGTTCTTGAAAATACTCTGCCCATCTTGCCAACCTCTGTTGTGGACTAAATAGAGGTATTCCTTTCTTGTTGTTGATGATAGTTGTTGGGTTGTAGCTTTTGTCTCTTTCTCTCATGATTTTTACATGTTTATAGAATTCTCTAGGGGAGTTCTTGCTGAGGGTAACCATCTGTTGACCATAATTTCTCCAAGACTCGTCTTTAGATGTTTTAATTTTGCTTTTTGCTTCTCTTCTTACTAATCTGTAATGTACAATGATGTGATTTTGATTTTATACATTTTTTTTATATGCCTCCTTCTTTCTGGATACGCGGTCTTTAACTTCGTTGTTCCACCGAATAGTTCTTAAACGTTTTATACCACCTACCCTTCTGACTCCGCATTTGGTTTGGAGTGTGTTGAGCATAGCCGTCCTATTACTGCAATTACAGTAATATTATATTTTCCCCATCTTACAACATGCAACAATGGGTTTATTCCGTGAATATTTTTAACCCATTTTTACATTTACCTAGCGCGAAAGAAAATGGCGAACGGAGACGAATTGAGTTTGGTCCAGGAAAATATTGATGAGTTTGTCAATGATGAAAACAAAATTGTAAGTATATTGTAAGGTGGGCGTCTGCTGGTAAAACTAGATTGTGTTTGGGAAGTCACTTTTATGTTTCATTTGATGAATCGGGTGTGTTTTTACTGTTTTATCCGACTATGTAGAGGCGGGTTGGTTGGCAAATAAGATGTTTACCCGAGTCCTCTGTCAGACTGACGGCAGTGACTGTTGTGACGGATTCCCTATTTATCTTGTTTGGGTTCCGGGATCCCGTTTTAGGAGCACAAAATATACCGCCTACTCCCTACCCTTTTCTCCAACAAGCATGAAATACAAGGTGACTAATTTTGATTTTTCTTCCGAAGTCGGAGTGCATCTGATCTGCCTGAGAGCAGTGCAAAAAAAAAAAAAAAGGTAAAACTGAAATGCAGAAATTAAATTATATATATATATATATATATATATATATATATATATATATATATATATATATATATATATATATATATATATATATATATATATGTATATATATAATTCGCTTGCATGGACAGTTTGCACATTTGCTTGAGCGCCAAGAAACAGATTATAAACAGCAAATTCATACCAGCACTGTGTACCAGTCCCAGACTTTGACATTATCAAACGCTAACTTATGTAAAATTAATACCTGTGAAACGAAGCGAAGATGCCTGAGAAAAGCCACCAACTTAACCATTCAAGACAAAGCTAGAAATTATGTTATCGGACAGACTAGGAACACCATTAAAGAGAAAAAACGGCTATTCTACAAATAATGGTCCCAAATTATCGAGGCGGAAAATATTCCCTAACAGGGCCTTAGTCACATGTCAGTTGCGGACTTCCGGCGACTACCGCCACGGCAGAGAGTATCTATCACGCAAATAAAATGAAGGGAGCTGCAAGAGATGCGGTAGCTGCTGCTTGTGAGTCCCAGCCATCTAGTTTAGCCCTGCTCCACACCACGCGTAGTGGCGTGGGAGATACTCTCGTCGGTGGCTTTAGTTGCCGGAGTCCACAATTTAAGTTGCCGGAAGTCTGCAATTGACATGTGACTGAGGCCCTGTTAGGGTATATTTTCAGCCTCGATAACTTGGGAATAATATTTGGAGGATAGGCGAAAAAACCAACACGATATAGAAAAATATTACTTACATGCAAACAATTGGTTAAAAAAAAATTGAGATGGAACTTGGAGGCACTAGATAATAGTTCTACCTTTCATCTTGCGCTAATATCCCACCTTTGTGTGCCAGTCTACCAATGGAGCCTCTCTGACTACTATGAGAGTAAAACTGAAGCCGAGAGAAGACAAGAGGAAACCACCATGCAATTTTCCATTGGGCTATCCTCCGAATAATGGTTCCAAATTATCGATTGAGGCTAAGAAAATACTTTTGGCGGTATTGTCTGCAATTTACACATGACTGAGGCCGTGTTAGGGTATTTTCTTAGCCTCGATAATTTGGGACCGTTATTCAGAGGAAAGACTTCCATTGTAAGCCTTTTACTTCTGAACAGTTTAAATTTACTATTGAAAACCCTAGATGTGGAAAATTAAGTTTGTTAACAGCAATCAATATTTGCTGATAGTGATGAATGTTTCGACTTTATGGTGAAGTTTTTCTTCTTCCTTGTGCAATTGGCAAGAAAAGATATAAAACCGAACGAAAAGTATATTAGCAAGCTTCACAATATAACCAATACAAACCGTGAACATTGTGGCTATGGAGCCTTCATCAGCACATACAGATCAAACAGTACTACACAGAAACACAGTTGGCACTTTGTGTTTGGGTTTACTCATACAGAATTTGATTTGCACTGGCATAGGAACAGAGCAAGTATGAGGAAACGCAATTGCAGTTGAAACCTGGACTAAGACATCCATTAGGCTCAAACCAAGAAATACATAATGAGGGAATATTCATGTTGACCTGGCTTTTTTTTTTTTTTAGAAACTATATTGACATGTGACTGAGGCCCTGTTAGGGTATATTTTTCGGCCTCGATAATTTGGGACCGTTATTCAGAGGATAGCCGCTATTTTGTCTTGTCCATTGAGTCTTCCGTCTTCCGGTCACAGTTTGTGCTGTATTTAATACTCCATTGATAAAAACTTTTGTCAGAATGCTTGGTTGTATTTGTGCACATCTTTTCCATTCACTCCATTTAACTTTCTATTTGCATTTTATGTTGTATTCATCAGTTCTTATCAGAGCTGTTGGCACATTGGGTGGTGGGTTATATATGGGTTGCAATATCTGTGTCGTTCAGCCTGTCATGTCCAATTTCAGCCTACCCTTATTTAGTTGCCTTGTACAACTTGCATGTTAAATACGGTCCCTCTAATCCCCCCCCCCCTTCCCACCCAAAAAAAAAAAACTGCATTAAAAAAAATTAGGCAGTTTTGATTAGCTCTGCTTGTTTTATTTTCAGATAACATGCAAGTGGCTAAGTTTAACTCTCAACCTACAAATAAATACAGCAAAAAGGTCAGTGGCGAGACAACCATACACTATCTTGTCCCTTACACTATCTTGTCTGTGTGACAGTCTCTCTGTCATTCATCTTTCTCATCTGTGTCTGTTTGTCTATCTGTGCATGTATATTCCTCCCCTCTTTTCACTATCTCTTTGCTTTTTTTCCCTCATCCTCTCTTCTCTCACTCTTCTACTTTTCCCTCCATGTATCTCATCTTATGTCTCTCCTCATTTCTCTGCCTCTCTTCTCTCTTCCTTCTACTCTCTTTCACTTTTCACTATCTCCTACCTCCTCTCTTTTCTCTCTCTCTCTTTTTCACATCCCTTATGTCTCTTTCCTATTTTCTTCCTCTCCCTTCTGCCCTCCTATATTTTCTACCTCTCCTTCCTCATTTCTCTTTAATATATCCCCCTCTTCTTTCCCTCCCTTTTCTCTGGCCTGTATTCTTCTCCCTTCCTTAATTTCCTTGTATCTCTCCCTCATCATCTCTTCTCTCTCTCTCTCTCTCTCTCTCTCTCTCTCTCTCTCTCTCTCTCTCTCTCTCTCTCTCTCTCTCTCTCTCTCTCTCTCTTTCTGCTCACTTTCTTTCCTCCTCTCTTTCCCCTCTCCTCTCTCTTCCTCTCCTTTTCTATATATATTCTTAATGTATGTTTTCTCCATATCTTTTCTCCTTCGCTCTCTCTATCTTCCCCCTTTCTATTCTTATTACTTTCTCTAATCTCCTCTTCTCCTTCTTCCTCTCCAACCTTCTTTCTATGTCTTCTTTCTTTCTCTCATTCCCTCCACTTACATCTTTCTTCCTGTCTTCTATATCTTTCACTGCTCTCTCTCCTCTGATTGCTACCTGCTTCTCATTCTTCTCCCTCCATGCTTGACTTTTTACTCTCCCTCCTTCCCTTTATCTCACGTCTATTTTTTTCACCCTCTCTCCATCCTTGTCTTCAATTTTTCTCCCTCTCCATCTTGATATACTCTTACTCTGTGTTTCTCTCTCGCTGTCTTTTTTTCCTCATTCGTCCTCCTTCGTTTCTCTATCTATTTTCTCCCCCATTACTCGTCTTTTATGGTGTGTTTTTTAGTAGGGCAGTGGGTCTGTTCCGTCTTTCCCTGTCTGGTCCGGGAATGCACAAGGAGAGCTAACATTATATAAAGATATAGAGGGTCACACAAGCAGGACATAAACTCTGGAGTTTGAGTGACTCCAGTGTGTGTACAACTCTCAAGTTTAAGGACTCCAGTGTATGTACAACTCTGGAGTTTGAGAAAGGACTCCAGTGTATATATAGCTCTGGAGTTTGAGTAAGGACTCTAGTGTATGTACAACTCTAGAGTTTGAGTAAGGACTCCAGTGTATGTATAGCTCTGGAGTTTGAGTAAGGACTCCAGTGTATGTATAGCTCTGGAGTTTGAGTAAGGACTCTAGTGTATGTACAACTCTGGAGTTTGAGTAAGGACTCTAGTGTATGTATAGCTCTGGAGTTTGAGTAAGGACTCTAGTGTATGTATAGCTCTGGAGTTTGAGTTGTATAGCTCTGGAGTTTGAGTAAGGACTCCAGTGTATGTATAGCTCTGGAGTTTGAGTAAGGACTCTAGTGTATGTATAGCTCTGGAGTTTGGGTAAGGACTCCAGTAAATGTATAGCTCTGGAGTTTGAGTAAGGGCTCCAGTAAATGTATAGCTCTGGAGTTTGGGTAAGGACTCCAGTAAATGTATAGCTCTGGAGTTTGGGTAAGGACTCCAGTAAATGTATAGCTCTGGAGTTTGAGTAAGGATTCTAGTGTATGTAATACCCAAATACTGTTTTCTCTTCTCTTCTGCTTTCTATCCAAGATGCCTGAGAAAAACAGCCAACCTAACCATCCGAGATCGAGCTAATAATGAAACTATTAGGCAAATTGTGAGAATGACACCTTGTACTAGATTCATCGAGAAACAGTAGATCAAGTGGTTTGGCCATCTCGTTAGAATGCCGCAAGATCAAATACCGTAACAAGCACTACATCTCAGAAGATCAGCTACAAGAGCAAAAGGACAGCTGTGGAAAATATGGATCAACAACATTAAAGACACTTGTGGCCCTAATGGCATGACAATAGCCAGTGGCAGCCATCATGCACTGGATCGCAAATTATTCCTCCCCGTTACGCTTAACGGCAGAAGTGGTTTATGATGATGATGATAAATAAGTCATAGGCTCTCAACCAGCCCATGCCAGGTCATTCTATCCTTGACAGTTGCATGCAGCTCTTCCAATATCCTCATCTTTTTAACTTCACACTCTACCCTTCTCCATGTGTTTTTCTGGTCTTCCTTTTTTTCTATACCTCTGTGGGTTCCAGTGCAAAGACATACTTATATTGTTTCCAGGTTTTCTCAGCATGTCTTATCCAACTCCAGCATCTTTTCTTCACCTCTTGGTCCACTGGATCTTTTTTAGTTCTCTCCCAGAGCTCTAAATTAGTGATTATATCATACCATTTGATTCCCTCTATTCTGCGCAGGCACCACTTAATTAATGTTTGTAGTTTATTTGTAATTGCCTTAGTTCTACATGCTCCGTACAGCAGTAGCAATTTGAAATAGGAACATGTAAATTGACCAAGTAACAAGTTTCTCATATCATGAGCTTATAATGACATAATGGCAAAAGTGTGGCTCTGTGACTTTGATGCTACAATGTGTTTATAACTATTTCATGCAGATGGTTTATTTAAAAGTAACCGTCTTCAGCAGTGTGAGAATAGCAGTATGGAAGAAATAGGAACCTCACTATGTATATCCTCCAAAAGACACATAATTAATTTTTTATTGGCAGCAGCAAAATCAGGTGTCACGTAAATATTTTTTTTTTTGTCAGCAGCAAAATAAAAAAAAATGAAAATCAGTGACCTGGAATTGCCACAAATGTTATTAACATGACAAAATATCATGCTGAAAGGTTTGTTAGCAATGCATAAGTTCTCCAAGACTTTTTGCCTTTGTCAGAGAAGACTCCCCTTGTGGATTCTGGGACCCAATTTTGGGAAGAGTTGAGTTTCAAGAACCGACATCAAAGCACTCAGGACATTCTCATATGCACTGCATTCCCATCTTCAGCAGCCGCGGAAGAGTTCCAACTCCCATGATACCAATAGCAATCTCATTTTATGTCCGTCTTGCCTTTTCTCTGAGGGTGAAGGATCAGCCAGATCCCCAGGGTCGTTTGGGGTGGGGTTGACTCTTTGCCCCATAATAAAAGGTATGAAATGTTACTTTAATTAGATGTTTTCTAAAATCAGCTTTGTTGAGCCAAAAAAAGGGAGATATTGCAGCCTAGATGTAGAACACAATACAGCTTGCCAACCACCCTTTTAAATGCAAATGCACATAAAGAATAAGAAGTCATAGAAGACTAGGCATCCAGTGCACCACCCCAGGATCAAGAGGATCATACGATCCTAGTTTTTATGTTGTAACAATCCAGTCAGCCTGTGAGATAAACCAAGTCTGCTTTAGCCAACAGCTGACACTACACAGCCTCTCTCCATGGCGGAGCTATTTGCCTCACTCTCGGAAGGTAGTAGGTCTGTTTTGTGGCTGCATTGTTTAATGCACGAGTGCAGTTTTTACGGAGGCCCATGGGAATCGCTGTCGGAGCTATAGTGATTGTGCTTGAAGAGACGCTATCTGCAGGCAACTAGCTGTTCTGCAGAGAAAGACTGAACCATAAGGAATCAAACCCAGTGCAATGAAGTTGTTCCTCTCGACTAAGCCTTAAGTTAACCTTTAACACAACCTGCTATCTATTCCAGTCTCTCACCCTTATTTAAGTTGATGACTAAGAAAACATATCCTAGGACAGCAGTTCTCAACCTGTGGTTGGAGACCCTTTTGTGGTTTGAACGACCCTTTCACAGGGGTTGTCTAAGACCATCGGAAAACACATATTCACTGAAGTTATGCCAGGGCAGACTAAGCCCTTACTCCTGGTTTCGAAGGGAAGATCCAACAGATTGCTACTTTTCTGATCCAGCAGCTTTTTCAAAGCATATTGGTGTTATTTTTCTTGGCATAAACAAGGCAGGTCGAGAGAGGGATCGATCATGTTGTGTGGGCAACACTCTCAACAGTACTGCCCAGGCTTTGTGCTACAGAGAAGAGAAACTTCATCCCTTATTTGGGTGTGATTCTTATGCCTCTGTAACACAATATACTGCTATTATCTGAAAAGACTGGAAGGTGCCAATAAACAAAGAAGACTTAGCAAATATTGATTCATATGACTACATTTACTGTTTGTTTTAAATTATAGGGCTTTATATACCTTTGTGGAGCGTCAGAGAAAGGGGAAAGACGGCAATGAAATAAATGTGACCTACTTTGTAGCAGGCCTAGGCAAGTCAAAGTCTGGTGAGCTGGTAAGTTTTAGATTATGATTTCTAGTTTTGTGGTTTTTACTCTTATTTCAGCAAAGCCCTAATTAATCATGTATTTTAACATGCTTGTTACGGTGGGCAGTAAAAAAGTAAAGGTAAAGGACCCTTTTCCATGCCTATCAGACAATTTGGGCGTATAGGGCTAGACCTATATTTTATAGATCAAACTGCACTTGGTGGGTGATGTGATCAGCATCACACCGGCCGCCTTTACTTCCCAGGACTGCACCTGGTACCCACTCAAGGCTGGGTCGAACTGGGAGCCGAGGTCATTTTTGAAAAAAGTCAGGCCGCCGTCAGGAACTAAACCCATGACCTTCCGATTCATAGGTGAGCGTCTAGCTGCTAGACCACTGCGGCTCCCACAGTTGACAATGGATCTGTTCTTTTTCTTCCAGAGAATTGGGCCCCAAAACCCACACGGAGAATTATAATATCATAAATTATGAAAATGAAAGAAGACTGGTATTTATTAAATATTCAGATCTTGAAGAAAGCCATTATTCTGCTTAATCAGCACTTGTTGTAAGAACCTTTCTGTCACATTGAAGTTCAAGAGTGCCACTTTCTCTGTTGACTGAGAATTGGTCCATTATTCACATCCATAATTTACCAAAGGAAATGGTACATGAGAACATGCTCTAAGAATGTTTACTTTAGTTAGTTTACTGATGTTGTGGGAAGCAGTTTATCTGATATTTATGTAAATATAAATTCCTTCCATTCTTCGTCTTCTTCTTCATGAATTATCACCAGCATCTTTTTGATCTGCTTCATGATCTGCTCCCATTTAACTTTTGTTTATACAGTTTTTATCTCTCTGTTATCTGCCATTCTGTCTATATGCCCCAATTATTGAAGTCTTTTAGCCCGCATGATACAAGTAATTAGAGGTGATTGAAACATATTGTGGATTTCATTGTTGATTCTCACTCCAGTGTCCGCTGTTTGTGTCTTTGAGTTCTTCTGTTAATTGTATTAACAGGAACTCAAGTGTGTTGTGGTCCCAGAAACAGAGCTTGATGTCGTTAAGAAGGCTTTGCTGGCTGTCACCAGCTGCCACATATACAGTGTTCAAAAGGCAAAGCTCAAGGTTTGTATTGTCTTTATAAAGGGCATATAGGGCTAGATCTATATTTTACCATCAGCACAAGATGGGTGATGTGGTCAGCATCACGCCGGCCACCTTTACATCCCGGGACTGCACCCGTACCAACTCAAGGCTGGGTTGACCTGGGAGCCAAGGTCATTTTCCAAAAAAAAAAGTCCCGCTTCGCCAGGGAGCAAACCCCCGACCTTCTGATCTGCGGCGAATGTCTAACCGCTCCGCCACGGCGACTCCCTGTATTGTCTTTATAGTTATTTATTTATCTCATAGGTTGCTACCAGCAAGGCCTCCTAAGCCAGCAAGCCAAAGGGTAGAGAAGAGACACACCCTGGTCCTCCAGCTTTGGGGTTGAAGCATCCATCCTCTTTGAAACCTCATTTTGTCACAAAACATATCTAAACCTTGAATTCAGGCGGAATTCTTCTTTGCGTTAACCATCTGTAAACTCCGGCAGAAAATTCTGGTTGTTTGTCCACCTCTGAACTTTTGTCTTGTTTTAGAATCTGAGTGTTGCATGCATGTCAGCTTTACAGATCTGATTTAATTGTATGCAGACTGTTGATAGCATTCTTACTTTAAAAGTAACACTGAGGTTCTTTGTTATTCTAATAAAAATGGCAGTCATCCTTATTATATTTCAGTTTGGTTGTTATTCTAAATAATATTAAATAAATAAATTTGCAAGCAAAATTAAAATTCTGTTTTCAGTCTGATAATTTTTTTTAAAAACCGTTTGAGTCCCAAGGAACGCATCATACGTTCATAGGTTCCTACCTAGAAGCCCAATGAACGCGTGATGCGCCGATTTTATTACTTTCTTTACTACCCTGTGGGCCTGTGATGCTAAACCCCCTGGGACTCAAAGAGTTAATATGAAGATGCAATGTCTTTGCAATTTTTCTAAGGTAGTAGATGAATGACTGCACCTCCACACGTTAGTAGATGGTAAACACACAGCTGTGTGACCAATGCACCAAAGCATCTTTGGGGACTGAGTACCTACTGGGATAAATGGACACCTCTGGGTGTCCCTCTGCTGATAGCAGGAGCATCACAGAGCAGGGCACTAACATGCCTGCCAATCTAAAAGATTGCCAAAGGCTGAGGACATAGTCTGACGCCATGTGGATGTGGAAAGCAAGTGGAAACTACCACATTATATCCCAAGAAACTTATCATAGAAGCCAAAGTGAAGATCAGAACATTTTCTTGGGTTTAGAGAAAACAAAAATAATGTCCACAGACAAAACTGGCTGTCACCCAAAAATAACATTAGATAAAGAAATTGAAAATGTCACAAACTTTGAATATCTATGCTCCATAATTAAACAGCAATGGAGGCTTTTCACCAGAAGTCAGAAGGTGGATGGCCATAGTAATACAAAGGTTAAACAGCATTATTTGTCTGTGGTCTATGTTTATGGTCTTTATTTCTGTTTATTTTCCAGGATTATACCCCTTTATACCAGACAGACTATGATGTCATCAAACAGAATTTGGATCAAAGTTCAAGGTAATCATTTTGCTGCTCCAGTGCTACCTCTGAGGTATGGGTTAGCAGAAGAAGGCTTACAATTCCTTGGATATCCACAGTTATTAGTAGTGAAATGCCTCGAGTTGAGTTGATTCAAGATCTGACATCACAGCACTCGGGGCATTCCCATAAGCCCTCCATCCCCATCTTCAGCAGTCAGTGCAGAGTTCCGATCCCAGTGGTGCCAGTAGCAGTCTGATTACATGCCCGTCCTGCCTTTCTTGTGAGCATCGAGTATCGGCCAGATCTCCTCGTCACTCCCTCACTGCATCACTCTCACCAAACTGAGATGTTTAAATGTTATGTTCCAAATGATACACATGCTCCCATAAGGCCTTGACCACGTCTGCCTTATCATGCACCAGTATTCTGCCAGGTTGTGAAAAGTTAAATGCATTTTACGAGGCTAAGACATGTTACAAAAATCAGGCATTTGCAGTCGCAGTGATTTTTTTTTTCTTGTTGTTAGCCCCAGTGTGAGAAGTGAAAACTGGAACTTGTGGTAACCAGAATAATTATGGAAAGAGAGGCAAAGAAAGACAGACAAGATTGTTAGCAAGCAGCCTTTTGTTATGGCGTGGTAGTGTGTCACAACACAAAATGATGCTTTTTGTTGGTGATTACCAGATGTGGACAGGTTTGAGGACAAATCATAGTTGCAAAGCACCTGATGATGATAAACATATTCGTCCAATGGCATGTAGGCGTTGTTGGTAATGAGAGAGCTGATAGACTGACAGGTGCTGCATAAATTGAAGATGGCTGGCCCTTGGATCCCTGAGGATTTTGGAGGCAATGTGTCCACATCACTGCTAAGAATACTAGAATTGGTAGTAAAGATCAGCACAGCCAAGCATGAGAAGCACACTGGACTTTTTGTTAACCAACATAGGACTGGCACTGTTATCGTGCGACGCTGATGAATATGTTGAGAGGGGAATCTGAGCGCCTATGGATGTGTCCAGATTGCTGTGAAGATAATCTAACTCATAACTCATGGTTAATGGCAGCGGTTGCTAATGATGTCCCTAAAGATTTCATTATTTTAAAAAATGTGTTTATAATGTGGTTGTTGAAACATGCACTTTGATTTGGCCTCACAGGCTCAGCAGTATCAGATGTGATTGGGTTGAACAGAGGGTTGTCAGGCAGCCTGCTGCAGCTGTTGAAAAACCCAGCAGTGTTCCAAAGGTATCTTTGTCATGCCTTTTATCTTTAATGTAATGAGAGTCTAAGAGAGTTAAAATGTTTGCGTGAACCAACTGAGAACTGTAAATCTGCAACCATGGTCAGACTGCAAGAATAATATGTTAAACGGGGCGTGGCCAAACAAGAACACTACACCGGTA